CACAAAAAGAATTTCGAAATAACCTCTTTTAGTATTTTTTTTTTAATTATTTTAAAAATTAACTTTTTTCGTTAAAAAAAGTCCCAGCACAGGGGGTGCATATACCTACAGCAGTGAAAGGGTTAAAAATCTGATTTTTATATATGTTATAAGATTTATAAATATAATCGAAAATGCTAGTGTAACTGAATTTAGACATTCCTAAACATGAAAAAAATGTAAAATAAGACTGAAATTTTATTTTTTATGTTTGATTTTGCGATAAGTCTGCGAAGAAATATAGTAGACGGCGGAAACATTAGAATAGCAACAATGCTAGGCCTAGCCTTACCTCGATTTAGGTTCTGTAATCAGACAAAAAAACGGCCAACATATTTTCCGTTGCTGTTATTGGCACTTGTATATTTCATTGGTATTATTTCAAATTTGTTTAAAAAATGAGCCTGACCGAGATTTTGACAATTAGACAAACATATCTCAGGCCTACACGATCGACTACAGTGTGCGAGATGCGAAAAACTAATCTCATTAGAGAATGCTCACTTTATTTATCAATCACAATCGTATCGGCGATGTAAACAGTTCAGTAAAACAGATTATTTAATTTTCTTTTTAATTAATTGTTATATCTTATCACGAGAGTTTGTTGCATTGGTGGGTGAGAAAAAAAATTAATTACTGCAACGGCTTCGTAAAACAATTACCCTGCCTACCTCCGACGCTCAACTGTATAAAGTATACACAAAAGCGAGAGCATTCAAGCGAATGCGAACTACCTCTGAATTTGCTTGGTAACGAAGAATCGTTGGTTACGAAGAAAAAGGTAATAGTACGAGAAATAGTCTCTATTTCTCTACTTTTTTTATCCTTTTGTGTAAAACTAAAATTTATGCCAATATTTGTTCATAATAATTAGAGTAATACATAAGCCTATGCATTTATTCTAAAAAAAATTTTTTTAGTGAAATTATTCCAGGAATGAGGCTCACAAAGTCCATGACAAGAGCAATGAATGATTGATTAGGCCTAGCCACGCTGTTCTGAAGATACATGTAGGCCTAAGGTAGGCATAGACCTCACAACCAAAGAATGCAAGAACTCATAATTTTGTGTATCAATCATCATCATCAGTTGAGAGAACTTCGGAAATTGAAATCATGGCCAATATTAATGTACATCACGTCTCACTAGCCTCACTACTATAGCCTTACCCTTAGTTATTGCTAATTTAAATCCTAGAGCCGCCACTGCTACAGCACAACTAAGCCTAGCACTGGGCCATGCCGTGGGTACGAATTGGTTTGTGTACACCCGGCTATATCGCTACCTGGCGGCACTCTCGCCAACAATAGGCTGGATAGATAGGCCTAAAATAGGTAGACTGACAGAATGTGCAATACCTACTTTGTTAAATTTTTAATGTCATAATCTGGTGTAGAGCAACTTTCTGCACGTAAGCTTGCACATTTTGACCAGATTAGAAATATAACAAGATACACTGACGAAACACAACTAGGCCTAATTTTAAGCCAACCACATAGGCCTACTTCCATGATGAAATTGTTGACAAGTTGGTGGTCATATGATTGGTTGATTAATTGACGATAGCATCATAGCATTTGGAAGCTTTCTATAGGTGGCGTCAATAGCTAGTGCTATTTGAAATACGTAAATTGGAGTGGGGAGACCTTCTATACGATCAAATTGCAGGCCCGTAGGCAGGGGGCGCAGAGGGTGCGACGCCCCTCCTTCCCCCACCAAATTCCAAAAGGTCCACTTTTTAAAACCTATGATTTCACAAAATCGTTCCTAATTATCACAAATGCTATAGCATGCCTTGCTTTAGGGATATTTGCCAGCTTATACCGTTTGATTTTTAATATTTGTGGTATGAAATTTGTTAGAAATTGATCGTTTCCGGTGATTTCAAATTGATCTAGGCCTATATATAATATGAAGAATGTTATCTATTATACCTCCATGGTCTGAGAGTGCCATTTCCGGCCATTTTGAGGTGCCATAATCATAAATTTTCTTACCTCGGGCTGAGGTGGTATTGTCCATCTGTCGGTACAAGTTCCTCACTTCACCTCACCCTCTATTTATCCTGCTTTACTGTCCGGGTCCCTAGACAATACTCAAATGAATGAAAATTTAAATAGGATTCCGATATTACAAATTAGGGATTTTAGAAATCCATTAAAAAAGGACCTTAAAATGCTATTGTCAGAGCTTCCAGAAGATTCACCCAACCCTCGCAGGGAATCTCTAGGCAGTCGCCCATCGTAAACTTCGGTTGTAAAAAGCACCTCCCCATCGTAAATCCTGCCTACGGGCTTGCAAATTGGGGTAAAAGATTAAAATTTGGCACAATTAGTATTGTAAAATATACCGTACATCCTAAATAAAATAGTGGATTGATACAGAACTTTCTATTTAACTTTAATAGCAACATATTAAACTCTATTATACACCAGCTCCGGTCCTATGCTATCATCAGTCGACAGAACTAATGAACCTATCAAATCGACTTTCAGCAAGTCTCCTTCCATAACTCGTTAAATATACACGTGACCCTAGCAACACGAAAATAGTGACAATTGTGACTCGGACGAATGCAAATCTGGCAGTTTTTATTCACCGTTAATAGAAACATACCTCTGGCTTAAACTCAATAGAAGTCTAATTTAATCGAGTATTCGTTTGTAAAATGGCATTTATCCATCGTTCTTTATATTCACTTTTTTACATTACTGACTATGCATGGGTAGGCCTATTATAGGCCCAATCTGCCAATGCCGTAACAAGCGCCCCTCAATTTCCACTCTGTTTTCATAAGCGCCCCGTTTGAATAAGCGCCCCATTTGAATAAGTCCTCAAAAAGAGCCAAAAATATATCGAGCGACCGGGCGCTTATTCGCGCGAGTAACTGTTGTAACAATTTCATTAACCACTATTGTAACAACGATTTAACCACTATTGTAACAAGACATTAACGACTATTGTAACAACAATGATCATAACCACTATGTAACAACAGGGGGAAAACTGAAACCGAATATGTAAATATTTTAAAAGTAAATTAACATACAAAAAGCCGTTGATCTTAAACAATTAATTGGAACTTAACTCCGTGATTACGGATTATATTAGCAACCGATGTGATGTACCGTAATGCTTATGATGAATTAACATGTACTTATATTCAAATGTTGAATACAGAAATGGTTATTGCTCAAAAAGTGTTTTAGCTTTGATGACAAAGAAGACAAAAACATCAGTTGTGTCATCAAACAAGAACTGTGATCTCGTTCATAGATAATTTATGTACTGCATTAAACTTTTTTATATGATATAGGCTTAACTGAATAGGCCTATATACTTTTACATTATAGGCACTCTATGGTGAGTTAACTTTTAAAGCTAACTGTAAAGTAGGTTATTTATGAAGCTTTTTAACATGAAATGATTGAATTTAAGATGAAAAATAATGCAAAAATTGTAAATAACCAAATAGGCCTAATAAAAAAATAACTGATGACAAAATGTACATTGCGGTTACTTCACAATTGTGATCAAGAAACAGAAACAGAAAAAAATATTTTAGAACCATTTCTTGTGATTTCATTACGTGCGTCGATGCGCATAGGCTTAATTGATTAATTCGAACAATAATGCGCACGAACAGGGCTTCCGTATACGCGCGTGTGTTAAGATTCAAATTAATACCATATCCCTCATTTGAACTGGATACTGTACATGAAAAGATGAAATGAAAAGTACGCTATGACTTCGGATGTCCAACGGTATATGAGTGAACAATGTTTGCCAGGTATGAGATACCCATGTTTGTTTTTTCTCTCATGGGTAGGCCTATATATCGTAAAACTTCGAATAGAAGCCCTGGGCTTCTTTCTTTTCTTAGCAAACTTTGGATGGGCTTCTTTTCGACATGGGCCTCTTTTCTCGAGATGGGCTTCATTTCGATGATAGGCCTAACTTTTACAAAGTAAAGAGGTAGGCCTAGCCCTAGACTTAGGCTTTTTTTTTTATGAATGTTGTAAATTTTGGGAATTACTAAACGGTAAAACAATAAATATTGCCACTCACTGTTAACATCAGTCTATCATGGAGTGACCGGCATTAAATCACCTAGGCTAAACTATAATTGTGTAAACCAATCGTGTTTTAATAGCCTACCTAGCCTAATTGTTTTTCCATTTAGTATTAGGCCTACAAAATATATTTTGTTAAATATATTTTGTTTATTCATTTATGTACTGTACTGCCTACTATCTCGAAAATAAGCCCATGCTAACTTGAAAATAAGTCAATGGCCTTCTTTTCGAGATGGGCTTCTTTTCGAGTTTACTTTTGCAAACTGAAGAGGGGGTTTCAATTCCAGATGGGCTTCTTCTCGAGATTATGCCCATTGGGCTTCTATGACTAGCCTAGGCTATTCGAGGTTTTACGGTATATCACAAGAGATAAATTATAAAACTTTTAAAAAGTATTTGCTAGACTAAAAGTATTTTGGATTTCTGACTTTGGTTTTAGGGATTATATAAGTTTAGTCATAGGGCCATTAGGCCTTGTTGTAGGCCTAGTATTGTTACGGTTTACAGTTCATACAGGCCTATAGGGCAATATAACTCAGAAATAATAATACATAGGACCTATCGTTTTTTTTTTATCAGCTTTCAATGTTCAAGTACAGGAAGTCGAAGAATTCTTGAATTTACTAAATGAAATTAAGGTAGGAAATGATGCCCTTTCAATTGCAATGTTCGTGTAGCAATAAAGGCTTAAATGAGCCTAGGCTAGGCATTACGGTATATTGAATTTCAACGCATTTGCAATACAATTTGAAAACTGTCGAACTTTTTTTCTTGAATGATTATTTTCTATAGAAATCCTACTCCGGAAACCAAGTGTTTAAATGTATTATTGATCTTCTCATTCGGATCCACTTGGAGCCGGATATCAAAAAAGACAACTATGAGCATGTACGTATATTTAAATGTGGGAATATACTAATTCCGTGTCAGTATAGGCCTAATATAGTAAAATGATTACGTATAATTATATACTCAAATAAACACCCCTTAATTTCACAGTAAATGTGGGGCTACAACAAGTACCGTCAAAATGTGTTATTGCGAGATCACAGATTTATTGATCCATCCCAGGCTAGAAAAAATGTAAATCTGGAATAGAATATTAATATATTTTATTGACAATGATGATTCCATTAGAGTTGGGATGGGGAGGGGGTGTTTATTCGACAGAAGGAATTTATTTCGAATAACGGTAAATAGGCCTACTTTTTTAAGCTCTTTTGTAAATATGGATTTTTAATTCTAATTTCTTAGCAGGTTGAAGTCCAAAGACGGTGCGTCGTGTGAAACTTACTTGGTTTATTTGTCGCTTTATATCTAACAGCATCAATCCATTGAAAAATACTATTGTAATATTTTTATCTTTAACAGATTCTTCTAAAGAGTAAATTAATACAGATGATGTCCGATAAGCCTCTACTTGGACTTAAGCTTGTCAATTATATCGACCATGTGCAACAAAGCCCTACTCATGTACTCCACTCGACACCATTGAACCTTGATGATATATGCTCACGTGTTGGTGACAGGTGAGGTTGAGATTTTACCTACCGTTACTCTAATTATTACGCATAACTTATCAGTCAACTGCTGTGTGTATCTTTGAGTAATAGGCCCAAGATCTTTTTTTTTTTTAATTATTATTTACCTAACAGATTTAAAACACTAAAGGATCGCAGCACAACTCCTTCAACGTCAGCTCTTATCAAGACAAGTTCCACGAGACCGGAATTCCAATTTAGTCGCAATGCTTACAAAAGAGTAAGTATTTGATAATATAAGACAAACTCAAAGTAGATGCTAAAATTCAATTCTTTGTGGTCATCTTTAGAAACAGCAATTTGTCATTTCAGTATTTGAATAGACGGTCAATCGATGTTTTTTTTTCTATCTGCACAGGCACCTTTTTCTCTAAATGATATAATCTATACAAACGAAGAAACTAAGGTTGAACAACTAAAAAGAAAGATAGCACACTTGCAGAAGAAACTGAAGGATGTTGCCGCGCAAAAAAAGAAGCAAAGGTCTGCTGGCACGTATAGTCCACGCGTAACCACAGCGTCCACGTCAGGAAACGACGGAAGTGAAGATGAAGTTCAAGGATCAGTGCCATCTGCGGCTACTCACCTGACGCGAAGTGGGTCAGATAGCGATGACGATTCATTGATAATTGTTGATGACAAATTTGATGAAGCAGAATCAACTGCTGAAAACGTACATTCCACTCAAAATTACATGCCACCATCGACGAGTTATCGAGAGTATTCGGATACGGTCGTCTCAATTCCTGCCAATACAGGGGCACAGGTAGAACAAGATGGAATGGTTCTTAGTGACGTCGGTAAGAACTGCATCATGGTGTCGGTTAAGAATATAAACAACTGCAGCAGCATTGCACCGTCAGCGTCCATCCCGTTTACATCAATGTCGCATGTGACGGAGGATGTGTCTAAAGAAAGTGGTATGTCCGTACAAAACAAAAGAAAGAGAAAGCAATCAACACCCACTATAAAAATATCGAGTTTGATATCGAAAAGAAAAGCCTTTGAAAAAAGCTTAAATATCTCAGCACTAGACAACAAAGAAAAAAGACGATATCGAAAACACAAAGCTGAATCAAAGATACTCCTTGATGAAAGCGATTCTAATTTAGGACCGGTAACCAGAAAAATACGAAAACAAAATGAAAAATCTAGTGGTGGAAAAGCTACGCAAATACATAGAAATTGTAGAGAGTTTACAGAGTCAATTAACAAATTTGATAGAGTCTTCTACAGTTCACAGCCATTGGCCATTAGTCTTTCAAAGAAGTCTCGACTTGAAAAAATCATCTCCAAATTACACTCGGCCAAGAAGTCATCAACTTGTTGCTAATTGCATATGCGTGACACATTGCTGGATAATTAAGAATTGAGAAAAACATTCTGGTATGGTAAAAAAAATGGAATGAAAATAAAGAACATACATAAAGACAACAAATAAAACATTTTGCATCCATATTGAAATAATTTAATAAATCTAAATAAATGGACATGGAGGACAATCTTGGAATGTTCACAATTTAAAGAAATATCTATAATTACAAATATAATACCATAATAAAAAAAAACCAGAGTTTTGCTTAATTGCAATTTATTTAATAAAATGCTTATATTTTCTTTATCACCTCCAAAACTGCATTAAATAAAGTACTTTGCTACGACTTACTAAAAATAATTTAAATATTGAAATAATAATAATAATAATAATAATTTACAACATTATCTAAGCTCAAGGTGACCTCTAAAAAGTTTACACTGAATGATTTTCAAATTATTACAAAAATAATTTATGAATATTTTTTCCAATTGTTCAAGGTGATATATTAATATTGAACTAGAAAACACGTTTTGATTTACAATTAACTTAATCTATGTATTGATTAAACATCTTATTTTATTGCAAATATTTCATGATGGAATGAATGTTCTAAGACCAGTTTAAAAAGTTCATTTTTTCCAGAGCCATCTTCCACTGTTCATTCCAAGTAATTGTCATTTAATCATTTATTTATCATTCTCTCTAAACAATTTTTTTTGTCAATTAAAGTGTCTGTGTAATATATGCTTTTTATGAATTGTACTAATAAAATATAATTATATAAACATATTTTTTATGTAGTGCTTAAAATGTTTATATACAAAGCTCAACATGGACGGATTCAAGTATCATTATTACTACTAACATAATAATGCATCTTATATCCCGATTCACACAAGACAAATGCTACTTGAGACACTTAGAACGCCACTTCCTGCTATATCGTGTCTGTGGGAATGCAGACATGTCAACTAGCTTGCGTCCTGTAACACACAGAAGTCTGTAACACTTCTAACATTTTTGCATGAATATGTATGCATGCTCACAAACTCCAACGAATGTACTGTAATACAAGCCATAATGAATGTACATCCATAACAACATTTCAAAGAAAGTTGGAAATACAGAATTACAATGGCTTGTATCGCATTCTTTGAAGTTTGTTTCAGTCTTATGCAACTGAACTCCTAGTTAAATGCGCACTCAAATAAGGCATGTCAATTTTAATCTGCTCGTGCGAAAATGACAGTGTTCTTGGTAGGAATATCTTGGAGACTTATAGAGACTTTCCAAGTAACATTTAGCATGAATCCTGTTGTAACATTTTGTTTTATGTGACCGGGTATTAAGCACTTTCTAAATATGCATACAAATATCTACTTTGTTTTACATCCTAAAAGGATGACGTCATTTTACCTTATAAAGCAATTCCTACATCAATGACAACATCAGCAGTTTATAATACTAGAAGTGAACTGACATTTTTGGTCTCCAAAAACGCTTTTGTCAGAAGCAGGTGATACTTAACTTATAACAAGGGTGAACTTCTATAAAACAGTCTTAAACAGGTAGTTATTAAAGCCAGTTTTATCATATAGACGGTCTTACCTCTGTAAGACCACTGCCATAAAACTGTCTTAACTAAGACTGCACCAAGTATAAAAAATTTAAAAAAATCACCCCATAGCCACTGATTTTTGATAGCCAATTTGTTGTGTGTTAAAAAGTTTTTGCAACTCATTTGCAGGTGAAAGCTGTCTAACTTATGTATCTTCTTCAGCTACCGTTTCTCCATTCTTCAGTTTAGTGATAACCTAATAAAGAAAAAGCATACATTTATAACATTAAAAATGGTGTCCATTCTACAGTTCAATACAATTATAGATAGAAAACAAATACTAAATTTTCAAAGCATGTTAAAATGTTAATAAAAACCAAAGCTTAGCAACTTACTTCCTTTAGGCGAGCAATTTCTTTGTTGTCTGCGTTTTTGGAAGCGTCATTTGTAATTAACTTCACACGTGATGCATACCTACAATGAAGATTAAAAACAGGTTTAATGAAAATTTACAAATCAAACATGCATAATACAAATAACAAAAATATTTAAAACATGAATGAAAGAAAAGAAAAAACAGACCATAAATTGTTTAGACAACTTGAAGCTACATCATAATTTTGCCATTTGCTGATGTACAATTTTGCATAATTCTATGCTTAGTGTGTAAAGGTTTTATAGATAGATACATTAACCATTACAAAATACAGTATTTCATTACCTTGATAGGATGCTAAGTCTATTTATATGGCATTAAATGGACATAAGGTATAAGGGGATTGTAAAAATAGCTGGACTTAATTGACCAATTAAGGATAGCTGTTTAGAGCGTTTTATAGCAATCTACCATTTTGTTCAAAGTTCTGCACTTCAAAGGGCTACCGTATCAATGCAGGCTATAAATATTGATGAGTCAACTTGTGAAGGAGAATCTTTAAGCATTGAATGTAAAAAAAAAAAAAAAATTAACTTACGTCAATGAGACAACAGTCTCATCAGCATTATAATCGGCAGGGGAGATATTGACGAACATAAGTGTTTTAGCATTGCCACCAAGTGAGTCCTGCATGAGAAGGGTCAACTTATTGTTACGGTATGGGATGAATGACTGCTCACTGGAAAGGGCCGAGATGACGTCACCAAGAGCACTGAGTGACTTGTTGATGGAGTTTGCTTCCTGTATGACAAACAAACATATGTCTCAAAATATAAAAACAATACTATTCACTACAGTATATAATATTTTAAAAATATTTACACATGTCAAAGAAAACACAAACACCATCAATTGATAAGACACAATATATAATTTATAATTTAATTTAAAAGTTAATTTGTAAAAAATATAAAAATTGTTTAAAAGGCAGATTTGATTTTGAAATATACAATGATAGAACTAAGCAATTCTAAATCTCTGCCTACACTATCAAATTTTCTTTGACAAAAAACTGTTGTATGCCCATATATGGTCATGATGTGATGTCATCATGACCATATTTAGGCATGTCTACGTAGTATGTACAGTAGGTGTACTAAGAGACAGACTGAGTAAACACCTGGCTTAATAAACCTAAAGCATTGTTTGAGGCTGGTAATCTCTTCAAATGCAGAATAAATTCCAATCTCTCAAGAAAAATCAACTGACCCTCCACTCATCCAGGCTGACTAACCTTCAGTTGTTCTGCTGTTGCTCCTGTTTTTGCTGCTCTCTCACTTCCAGCCAAATCTACCAAACTCAATTTGCCTTTAACCACGGTACCAGTTGATAAGTTTGTACTCTCAATAACGATTGCCAGAACCAAATGAGAACGAGAACTTTCAGCATTCATCTCTAAAAAATAGATCACAAATGTAATATTGATTAATATTATACATAATGTGTATAGAAATTTATTAAAATCTTAATTTTATTGCACTAAACCAAAATTTATATATCTATACATCACGTTATGTTGTTATTTTCCCCATTTTCTACGTTATAACAAATTTTTTTTTTTTTAAAGATTTGGTGATGGTCCCTGTCTAAGAAAATGCCCGAAACCCTAAACTTCGAAGGCTCATTTCTCAATTACTGTTACTTAAACAGCTGTATATATAAACTCCTGTAACTTCATAACAAAATGAGGCATGTTGTGGCAAAATGGCTAAGTTGTAGCAAATATTGAAATTTAAGTTATTGGTATTTTGCAGATACCTGAGAATGTGATCTTTAAAATGAGGGGTCATTCATTGAAATTGGACATTTCAAGCCGAAGTTATTGGAAAGTGACAGTTCAGCACTCTTAGAGTCAAGATAAACATGATTTGAGTGATGCTTCAAAGTTATTTGTGCATACACTGTGTAATAGAATTAACTATAAAAATAATGATAAATAAATGACTTGTTGACCACTTCCAGAACTTTTGGACATGATTAATAAGAATAACTGTTGATCTAAAGTGAAAAACAAATTTGGATTTTTAGGCACATTTTTGGAGCTCCCATATTATTTTATAGCTCATTTACTCAATACTGGCCTGTGCAACAACTCAGATTTAAATGATTCTTTTTCAATTTTATAACTTTCATTTTACTGTTCAACCCTGTATTATTATTATTACTAAAAATCATTTTTTTGCAAGTAGTGACTAGTTTGTCTTGTCTTTGCCACATATTGTGTGTAAGCTATGGCTATGTAAAAGAAAGGGAGAAAGAAAGTAAGATGGAAATGACAAGAAAAATGATGGACAACATATAGAAGATGGTTGAAATGAGGAGGGTATATACAGTATGCTCATTTCAGATATATTACGATCAAACAAATCATTTGTCTTGCCGTGTCTGAAGTTAGACAATGCTGAGTCTAACAAACGTGTGTATACCCTAGCTAATAATGCTTAAATCCTACAAGTGTTGTAGATTTTTAAGATGTATTGATTTGTACAAGTGGCCATTCCAGGAGTTGGCTGTTCACAGTACATAATAATCATCACCAGTTTTCATACAGCTTTTTGTTTTTAACACTCTACTGTATATCGCAGCCATTCAGTGAATTTACAGCCTTAGGATGTTCACATTCACATGAGGATTTAAAATGATGATTGTGGGCCAAAACTAGACATGATAGAATCTAATGAGAAAGCCATTTTGATAATTTTAGTGATTATTTAAGATTGACTTACTTGTTGAAGCAACATGTCGGTTGGCAGAACCCTGCTCAAACAAACCATACAGCTCCTTGTTATTAGAGGCTTCAAGCATTACAGATCCAGTCACAACAACCATCCCTTTCTTGTCCTTCTTAATATCAAGCTTTGACTGAATGAAGGATGAGTAAATACATAATTTATGTATTCAGAAGGGCAAGACAAGTTATTTTATTTATTCAGACACCCAATAACGGGGTTGTAATAAAATATATAAAATAATACAGGTAGCTTAATAAAAATAACAATAGAAAATATTATAAATAATAATTATATAACAACAATAATAATAATAATAAAAACAATAATAATAATAATAATAATAATAACAATAATAATAATAATACAATAATAATGATAATTATTATTGTATTATCATGATAATCACAATAACAATATAAATAACACTATGATAAATATTTGTGGTGATTATGACAATACTACAAGTAAATTGTTGCCCTAATTACCTCTTTTCCATTGGCGTATAAGTCAATCAATTTATCATTGTACAACTCCAACATATAGGTGTATACTTTGAAAGAGAACTTTGACCTGAAAGAAAAAAGAAAAAGAAAATTGTTCAAGAAGTGATTTTGCTAATTGTACAAAAATAGCTGTATTGTCAAAAATTTAAAGCATTTTTGATTATTTATATTATCATCACCATCATCATTATTACCTTTATCTTTTTAACCACAACGACCAACATCATAGTTTTTACCATTACTATTTAGTATCATCGATGGAAAAACGAACACATTTTAACACAAATATAACATTTTATACATAGATTTCATACAATAAAGAAAACCAGAAACAAACACTTCTTTGTAAACAGATTAATTAATTAATCATATAGAATAAATTGTTTCCTTTTACTTTTAAATACACATATAACACAAAGTCCTATCAACTTCAGCTGTGGATCAATTTTTCAATTAGAAAAAACAGTAAAATAATACAGTATACAAAACAAACATTAGCACTACTTAATTAAAGTGAAAAGCTTGAAAATACAAGAATTCAAATCTTACTTGTTCTCTTCAATGACATCGAAAATTTTCTGGAAAGCCCTTGGTGCAATTCCTGGGAATTTTTGCTCTCGATCCCCAATCATTGTAAACGTTTTACCAGATCCTGTCTGACCATATGCAAATATACACACATTGTAACCGTCAACAGCTGACTGGACCAAATTCTATAGAAAAAAGTATTAAATAAGAAAATTGTATTTGGCAAATACTACATACATATTGTGATAAAAATTAAAAAATAACGATTTGAATGTAATAATAAGTGATCAATTTAAATATATTTAATACTTCAAATTTAAGTACAGTATCTTACATTTGTATCTTCAAAGACATCTTCTTGTGTATTTTCTGCCATAAATACATGATCGAACTGGAATTCCTTGACTCCACGTGAGCTTTTTACTGCAATAGTGTACTCATCCGGAGCATTCACAATAACAGTATTTCCCTAAAATCAACAAAATTTACAACAGTAATCGTAGAAATCAATAATTTGATTTTTATTCAATTGGAGAAATTGATACAAAATAATAAATAATTACTTATCTACTATATATGCAGATGTTTGTGAAAAATTTCCATTGCATATGGTATCAAGAAGAACAAACTCCATGAAATGTGTACACTCATTGCTGAAGTTCATATTCTATTGTGTTTAATAAACGGAAACGAAAACATACTCTTTCTTTTTCAGATCCGCTGAGAGGACGAGAACGGCAATATACCCTGATTTTACCCTTCATGTCTTCCACCATGTTGTAGTACTTCTTGCGCAAAACCTACAATAAAAAACACAGCAGATTATAGAAGGATCCATCATAACCATCAAGTATACAGAAGCCTTGTTTGCATTGTAGTAATTTTGGTCAAAGTAAGAGTGGACCCTTTCTCTTTGACCAAAAAATATCCAGAGCAAGCAACCTGTATAACATTCTCTTTGGCCAAATTACCCAAAATGTGCAGCAACTTAAGCTGTTTGTAAGTTGCCCAGAAGAAATAACCAGGCTGTTTTTTCTGAGCAGAAAATTCCAATGTGAATAGCCACCTTGGTTAAATCCTTCTGAGCACATGCTAATATTGTGCGCATCGGTGTAATTTTCAAAGAATGTATCTATGTTTATACATGACCACTATTTCAAAAACTACTGCATATTTAAAACTTGTTAAAAATTAATCACATGCAAACAAAGTTTTTTAGTGATATCATGGAACTGATCATATTTACCCTTTCGCTGTTATAGTTTTCAGAGAGTTGTTTAATTTCTGCTTGCAAATCCTTTACTTCTTTCTCAAACTTGTCTGCTTTCTCTTTTAGTTCAACAGCTTCCTGGGCAGCAACCCCGAGGGCAGCGATCTGTGCTGTCAGCTTCTTCACTTCTTCTGAAGATGTTTCAAGTTCCTTAAAACATGGTAAAAATAATTTGATAAATTTAATGTGTAATTATTAAAACAGTTCTAACACAAGCACCTACAAAAGCAGAGAGGAAGGTGTATAATTTGTATGGTTCCTGTTAATGTTTTCAACAATTAAATAAAATACAAAAACAGCATAGAAAGAGGGAAGACAGTTTATACTATTAGTTTTGTAAAGCTGTGTCCACACTTTCAAATTTTATGTGAAAAATAAGTGTGACACGTCCATATTTGGGTGTAATATAATAATAATAACAATAAGTAACTATATAATCTTATATAGCGCACATAATACAATAAACCAAGAAACATCCTAATGTGAAAACAAATGTCATCATCATGCCCATATATGGGCACATTAAACAAATTTATCACATAAAATTTGATAGTGTGAATTTGATAGTGTGGACAAAGATTAAAACAAACCAACTTTATGTAATAAATATTTTTAAAATTACAAATTAAAATCCATATGTTTTCCTAAAGATTTTATTTAAAGCAACTGACCTTCTTTGTAGTTTTTAGCTCTGCTTCCAACTCTGTCGCCTTCTTTAATTCTCGTTCAAACTTTTTCGTCTCCATTTCTAACTTTTTCTCCAAATCCTTCAGTGCTTTCTCTTGCTTCTTTCCAGCTTGTTTCTATAAAAAAAAAATATTTTAATTCATACATTTAATGAGACAATTCCTCAACCTGTACATCGACAACATATTTCTAAGCTTTTTAAAAAAGCAGACGGGAGATTTTTTTAGTGTTTTACATATGAGGATACTTCACAAAGACGACTTTAGAGCATCTGGAGAAATACAGTACTCACAGCAGGCAGTGCACCTTTTTCCCCAAGTCACCTCATAACATACATAAATATAGATGCCTATAAACACGGTAATACAAAATATATACGAATATTGCATAAATACCTACAAATCTCTAAAACGTAGGTTTGTTCATGCCAATTCTCGACGTTAGTCAAACTATTTAGGCCACCAGCACATACGCAAACTCACATCATAATAAATAAACTTAATAACTCACATCTCCAAATGCATCAGATTTTGCTTCCTTTAACTGATCTGTCAGCTCTTTAATTTTGGCTTGATCTTCCTGAGACTTCTTCTTCAGTGTTGCAATTTGGTCTTGCAGTAACTTCAATTTCTTCTCTGTTTTTGCATCAACAGCTCCAGCATTAGCACCCTAGTGAGTTTGAAGTATCGACAGATGTTAGGAATTTCATAATATGCAATATATCGTGCATTGTCTTTGGAATATGATTATACCTTATTAGGCATTAATATTAATATTCATAACAAAGTGTGTGGGCCAGATTGTTGCTAAAATGCAATACTACTAAAATAAAATGTTTAATCAGTACTCAGACATTCATGATTATACCATAATGCACACTACCAGTCAATAAAATACAAACAATCCAAGGTTGTTTGAATGATTTACTTTTTTATTCTTTTTCCTTTTTTATGGATCCTCTCGAGACAAGGTTTTTTCCTTCTAGATTGGGATCCTTACAACAGCTTTTACTTTTATGTATGAGATATATGTGTGTGTGTATGTATGTGTATGTCTATATATATGTATTATTATATAATGTATATATGTATATATATATATTTCTCAACGCTTATGTATTAATCTGTGCTGTGCTTGCACCACTGAAACTAAAAAAAAAAACAAAAACAATATAACTTTAAAAAAATTGGTAAGACAGACTATGGTTAGGGTCACACTAGAACCTTATTATCCGGATCGGAAGCTAACCGTTAGCAGCCATGTTGGAACGCCTATTCGGTTAGCACTAACCGTTACCAAGACCTGGATACGCTAAGGGTTAGCGAGCGCTATCGGTTAGCAAGTTGAGCGTGCTTCTATAATTAACCAATCACACGTAGACATTTCCAATTTCCAAATTCCTATTGGCCAGTGATCCCACCGTCATCTTCTTGATATCAGGTTCAGGGATTTTTCTTATATGAACGCAAGGGTGAGCGGGCATATTATTTATCTGGATCTTGCTAACCGTCAGCTGGTGTGTGTGAGCATAGCCTATACATTCCATGTTGAATAAAACACAACAAAATGCTTAATACCTTGCCACCCTTAGCACCAGCTTTAACTGCACCCGCTGCTGATAACTCCTTTACTTTCTTCTCCAGTGCCTTCAGTTGTTTCTTGTTCTCATCCTCCCTCTGCTGGTATTTCTTCTCTATTGCTATCTGCTGCTCTTTCATCTGTTTATCTTTCTCTGCCATCTTTTTCTTCAGATTCTCCTGGTGACCTCGGTTGATTTCTCTTTCTTTAGCAAGAGTCTGACTTAAAGTTGCCATCTCCAGCTTAATATTTTTAACCTCTGCATTGCCACCGATACTTGACTTCTGCAGCTCTTCCATATCTTTGTCAGATTTTGCCTTTTAAAAGCAAAATACATTTTAAACAAATCTGCACATTTGGATCAAACTAACAGGAACTAACAGGTTTTTACTCACAACACAAAAAAAAAAAACACTAATAATATTTGTTTTTGTATGGAATATGATTATATCTAAAAGGATGTGCTCTTACAAGTTTAGCCTGTAGGAGCTGGATTTCCTTCGCAGCATCTGGTGGTAGAGTACTCAACTTTTCTTTCTCCAGCTCTTCAATACGTTGCTTACTCTCATCCAGTGACTACCAAAAAAAAAAAAAACAAATATGAATGTTACTCAGGTATTACTCATCAAAAGACATGTGCAAGCTTAGTCTTAGTTGTTTTGATTCATGTAACAGACTATATTTGTCATGCTTTACTTGTTTATTTATCTGTATTTGAGAACTAAAACCATTAAAACAATGATTCTACCTTATTCTTCAGTTCTAATTTTGCAGCAAGAGCAGCAGTGGCTGCCTTCATTTTGCCATCATACTCTGTCTCCATATCTTTCTGTTCTTGTTTCAATTTCTCCAGTTCCATTTTCAGATCATCCAGTTCATTTCTTGTTTTTTCATGAGATTCCTTCTCCTGCTGGAGTTCTTTGTCAGCCTTGTCGACCTGTTGCTGCAAATCTCCGAGCTGAGCATTGAATCCCTGAAATTTACAAGTACGCAAATTATGGAAAATCACTTCTTGCATACAAAATAAACATTAAAAGTAAATAAAATCAATCAATCAAATAACAAAATGTAGAAGATATTCATCAGAACATAGCAATAAAATAGCATAACATATTAAAACAAGTGTTATTTTGACTAAAATATATACCACTCAAGTTAAATTAAACCAACTGAAAGACATTTGTTATTCTAAGTGATGCTATTAAAATGTGAATACCTCTACATCATCATCATCATCATCGATCCCAGAAGTGATTGCAAGAGAAATGCCACCCCCAGATTGATCCGATGCCTTCTGCATCTCCTCCAGTTTCTCTTTCATCTCTTCAATCTCCTTCTCAAGGTCAGCATTTTTCTCGTTCAGCTCGTCCAGTTCTTTTTGATTTGCAGTGCCGCCTAGGGAAGAAAATTTACTTCTCAAAAAGATGTCCAACAATTTAATGCGAGCTTACAATTTAATACAGTAAAGCAGTTATTTTTTTTTCTTTGATGGTCCTTTTATCATTATACTTACCACGAAATGATATTGCCATCATACCACCGAACTTGTCTGGAATTACCCCTGTTTGTATCATGTTCAAGGCAGTAATGTCGACTTCATTTTCCATGTAAGCTTGATTGCTAGTTTCCAAATTGGCATATAGTTTTTTGGCAGTTTCATCCCTAAGAAGAAATAAATATGCAACATAGTTGATAGGATGTAGGGTAAGAATATGGGTAAAGTCTTTTTCCAGAGGCTGAATTAAATTAGGATTGGATTCACAAATACTATTGTTGTTCACATTTATACAATGCAGTTGGTACAGCTCTTAATAGGCATCCAGGTCAGGTCAGGTTAAACCACATCAATCTCAAGCTTGCTATTAGCTTTTCCTTTGCAAAGCAATTTATCAAAACTTCTCTCTCCATACATGATTATAATATATATTATAATAAGCAAATGTTCATGTTGAATATTTATGAATGACTAGAAATACTTTGCAGTAATTGCAGTGTACAATTTTTACTGTTAGAAATGTAATAATAATGCCAAAGCCATTTGATATATTTGTTCAAGTAAATGCTTGTCTCAGAAAATGAATTAAATTCTCTAGATGCTCTTTATTTTGCCATTATCTTACCTATCAGCTTCTGTAGGCCCAATACCATGCTCGCTTTCATATGCCTTCTCCCAGGAGTCAATTTGTCCCTGTACGTCTTCCTTAGCCATTACATGTCCTGCTTTCTCCCTTTCTGCTTCAATCAGTCTGGCAGACACTTGGTTTTTAGCGGGTCCATTATCTTGATGAATTGATTGAGTCTATGAAAACAAATTATTTTGCTTCATTAAATATAAAATAATAACTTTACAAAATTATTTTTTTTTAACTTGTTATATATAGGTGTTTTTTACTCTTAGAGGGCGCAATTACACTTACATGTTTGACCACAGCTTGGAGAATAATTTTCAAATTTGGATCAACTTTTTCACTTCCACCGTCAGAATTTTTTTGATTCTTCAGTTCCTTTTGTAGCTTTCCTATCAGCACGTCCTTTCCTTCAACGGTTTTGGCAAGCACTCTCAACTTGTCCTCAAGGTCTTTAACTTTTGCCTGGCTTGCAGCAAGTGCAGCGACAGTGACTGGGTCAGGCACTGTGACCTATGTGTAAAAAGAATGATTCAGAATTAAGTACCGTATTACAGTTGGAAGTTAATGTGTGTGAATGTGGTGGTATCTTCTATTACTGCCAATATACTGTATGTTTGATTTGGCAGTTTCCATATTTGGCAGTGAGGAGTCTGAGCTTTCGTGGGTAAATCTTGTAGCTATAGTAGGCTTACATCCTACCTAGAAAGTGTACGAAATGGTAGCCTACAACCTGCCCCAGGAAGATTTCTCACTGATTAAATGAATCAGAGTAAGATCATTCTCAAAATGAACAAGATTTGGAGGAATTACATAGCCTGGTCCTAAATTACAATAATACTAAGAAAACTGACTGTAGGTTTTCAAAAGAAAATGCTACTCTTAAATCACCATTATTCATCAATGATTCTGTTGTAGAGATAGATGATAGTTTTGAATTTTTAGGAATTGAGGTATCAGACAACACGTCATTACACGCCTTATCAAAGTTAAGCGTATTGTATAAATGAGTTTGGATTCTGTGTGATTACAAAACCATCTGGAAAAGAGGCTACTTGAAGAATCGCCAAATTTGGCCAGTTTGTGACCCTTACGATGCCTACTTGTTCCCTCAAGCTACGGCGAGCGGTAAATAATCAACTCGACAGGTCACTATTTTTCGGTAAAATAAAAAGTATCGCTGGGTGTATTTTATTTTTTGTTGGTTTCATTGATCTTGAACCATTTTTTCCCTTTTTAGTATTGTAAGTATATAATTTTATTTTGGATTTGGATATTTCTGTGGTAGACCTTACTTTTTAGGCCATTTTTTTTTGTTAATTACGCGGCTTAAGTGCCACTGATATAAAAGTGTACATCTGAATAAATTAATATTATTATAGGTTATAATATTTTCTTTGTAGTTATTGCTCGACAAGCAACACGACGAAATCAAGCACGTCATTCTTGCCTTGTCGCTCCGCAAGCCTATGGACTTCCCTCTCCATTCGTCTGTCTGACTAGCCTATCATCAGACAGAAACAGTCAAAAAATTGTCTTCTCCCATGATATTCAACCGTTAGCAATGATAAATACAATAATTAGTGAAGTAACAACAAAATAGGATTACGAGAGAAAATATTAAGGGAATATTAACACAATCAGTCAACTGTAAGCAATCCACTCAAAAAAACAAATTGTGCAAATTCAGAAGAAGGAGAGTAGAGTTGCACTGTTGTTGGTTTGACAATGTGTCCCAAAATACATTGCGCCATATGATACTTTCAGGTGTAAGTATAAACGGCAAAGTCTGGAGGGTCGACTTGGGTAGTGAAAATACATTCAAGGAAATAAAATCGTGTTTGTGGTTAGTGTGTTGTATAAACAGAACCTCTGAAATGGCACAATCAATCTTTATATTGTGTTAAAAGGCACAGCAACATATTTTCTTATTACGTAGATTAAGATCTTTCAAAATCTGTTCTCTTGTGATGTTTTGCATAATCATAATCATTAATCATCACATCATCTTATAGATTAATATGTGGCAAAGACAAGCCAAACCAGTCACTCGTCGCAAATTGTTTCAGAGAAAATGGCTAAAACATGCTGGAATGTCAAATTTTTAAAAATCTATTTTATTGCACTAAGCTAACCTTTATATATCTACACATCATTCTATGCTGTTATTTTCCCCATTTTTAAATTTAAAACAATACTTTTTAAGGATTTAAAGATAGTTTCTGCATGAGAAATGCCTGAAATCATAAACTTTGACAGTTAATTTCTCATGTATTGTTCTTTAAACAGCTGTGTGGTTAAATGCTTGTAACTTCATAAGGAAATGTCAGATTTGAATGATTTTTTACCATTTTATAGCTATTATTTTACTTTCTAACACTGTATTAATAACTCAAAATTGATTTTTGCGACGAGTGACTGGTTTGGCTTGTCTTTGCCACATATGTTGAAGTTTATTATAATGTAATACAATTTCACTAGAAAAGTACCTCAACAGTTTTGACAATGGGCTCCGGGATGTCAGCCTCCTTGACCTCTGGTATATTGCCTTCTTTCAGCATTACCAGTGTCTCTTTCTTCCCTTCCAGCTCTTTCTGTTTTATCTCAACTTCATGAAGCTGGGTCTCTAGTTCATGAACACTATCAGGTCTGAAAAAACAACCATGTTGATAAAATAGTTATGGCACAATCATAATGGCTTTTCCCATAAATAATGCTCATAAGATAATTGTGAAGTTTTGTTTTTTCATTCAAAGCTAAACAAAATATTTAAGATGACTAACTTGTCCTCTTCAGTAGGTTCTCTGCCATTCCTTTCTTTGAACTCTTTTTCCCATTTCTTTATGTCATCTTTTAATTCTTGTTGCTCATTGTCCATTATTTTCTTGTCCATCTCAGCTGCTACAATTCCTTCATCTATTTTATCTTTGTTTTCTACAGTAGCTTGAGCAATTGCCAAGTACTGGAGGTGAAGTGTGTTGAATCTAGCCTGGTGCATTGCAGCTTCCTATCAGATAAAAATGTATTATTATTATTATTCTTATTCTTATTCTTATTATTATTATTCTTATTATTATTCTTATTCTTATTATTATTATTATTATTATTATTATTATTATTATTATTATTATTATTATTATTATTTATTATTATTATTATTATTAT